GGAATCTAAAAAAGAATGGTTGCTGGAATTGGGTATGAAAAGAAGGACTAAGGGTGACATGATAGCAATGTTCCAATATCTAAGGGGTTGCCACAAAGAAGAGGGAATCAACTTATTCTCCAAAGCACCTGAAGCCAGGACGAGAAGCAATGGATGGAAACAAATCAAGGAGAGAAGCAACATAGAACTAAGGAGAAATTTCCTGACAGTTAGAATAATTAATCAGTGGAACAACCTGCCTCTAGAAGTTGTGGATGCTCCAACACTGGAAGTTCTTAAGAAGAGATTGAACAACCATTTTTCTGAAATGGTATAGGGCAGAGGTCCCCAACCCTTTGGGCAATAGGGACCGGTTACATGGAGAGAGGTTTTTCCGTGCACCGGAAGGGATATGATTTTGTGTGCTGCCTGCATCCTGCAGATGGGGCTTTACTTGTTTGTGCGGCCTGGTTGCTGGCATGCTGTGGCCCGCTACCGGTCCATGGACCGGGGGTTGGGGACCCCTGGTATAGAGCTTCCTGCCTGAGCAGGGGGTTGGACTAGAAGGCTTTCATGGTCCCTTCCAATTCTGTCATTCTCTATTCTGTGAATTCACTTTGAATGAGTATAAATCTTCAGGGCCAGATAAATTGCAACCTAAAGTACTGAAGGAATTTGCTGATGGACTGGACAAACCCCTTTATGCATTATCATTAAGAAACTGGAGAATGGGTGAAATGCCAGCTGATAGGAGAAGAGGAAATATTTTCCGTTAATATCTTCAAAAGAAGAAAAAGCATCCAGTGATCTACATACTAGTTGGCCCAGACCATACTTTATTTTTATATTGGGTAACCATCTTAAATGAGAGAATGCCGTATACATTTGGCATGACAATTAACTGGATCAATATAGCCGGCTTGGGAATTTTACTTGAAGCCTGCTTATCAATGCTTCCTCATCAACCTAGAATATCAAGTGAGAAGCCGCGAGGTTTCACCATTGGGCCTTATATTCTTTGTTATTATTAATGACTTGGATAAAGGGGTGGAAGGAAAGCTAATCAGTTCTGTGGGCAATCCAAAACTGGATAGGATGACTCATGCTTCGGAAATAAAATTAATGATGAGCTGAGTTAGAGAAATGGGAAGAAAATAAGAACATGATATGTAAGAAGTGCATTCACAGCTGCTTTGCTCTGCTTTCCTCCAGTTTGATGTTGATGTAAAACTACACCGCACTCAGAGAATGTCCTTTATTGGCATTTGGGACAGGGCATGCTGTGCTGCTGTCTGCAGACTTTGTATGTGAGATGGCATGTAGTGAGGAAGTGGATCCCCAGGAGGGAGGGGGTGCATTCCAGGAGAGCAACAGGCAACTCATCTCAGATACCCTATATGAGAGAAAGAAGGTGAAGACAGCCCTTCCCGAAGAGTATACTGTGTATGCAGGTAGTAGAGTCCTCAGTCTGGCAAGGTCTTTTGTCTATAGGTGTGCAACAATAAAGAACTCAACTTGGAAGAATTACCACATCATCATTATTGGTTTTTGGCCTGATAAAATGTAAGATGCTATAAGAGCTATGATTCATGGTTTCCCCTGACTGAAATTGGAAAAATTCACATTCAGTTGCCATTCAGAAAGCGAATCGGAGTGGCGTGGTAAGGTCTGAATACTCTGTCCAATCAAGTTGTTTTTTCTCCCCAAAGGACTAATGATCCATCACCCTAACAACTGCTCCCTTAATTGCAACATAATAGTTACTTGGATTTGTGCAGTCCGGAAGCACAGCCCATATGGAGTTCAAGAAAGGGATTCTGATATACATGAGAGATATTGGGCATATCTACACAGTTTCTCCAGAACAGATTGTTAATCTGCCAACTAGCTGATCTAGTGATTGTCAACGCTGCTAACATTGGATGTTTTGCATTGACAACAGGTGGAAATGTAGCCATCTTTTTCCCTTTTTGCTTTTAGAGTTAGATGATGATGGGAGGGGGGGATTTGAATGAGAGTCTAGCTAGACATAACAACACTAAGCTTAGTGTGAGAATCAAGGTTATTGAGCCCAGAGCTGATAAAGATTGGCGGGCTGGAGAACTGGAGAGGAAGCTCGTGTTTCAAGCTAATTGGGGAATGTGATTTATGACTGTTAATTGGAGGAGGGAATTGTGCTTTGATACTATGTGCCCAGGGGAGGGGAATTCAGTTTTTGGCTTTGATTATGCTGTGCTGATGTTATGCTACTCGAATAAAAGATTCTTTAAGGTAAACAATGCCTCAAAGTTCTTTTGAAGAGTTTCATCTGTCGGAACCATGACAATGATCATTAGATTTCATTTATTCTCCATAGCACCTGAGGGCAGGACAAGAAGCACATCAGAGGTAGATTCCACATTCTGGAAATAAGGAGTAATTTCCTAACAGTGAGAACAATTAATCAATGGAATAGCTTGCCTCCTAGAGTTGTGGGCGTTCCATCATTGAAAGTTTTCAAGAAAAAATTAGACAGTCATTTGTCCAGGATGATGTAAGGACTACTGCCTTGGGCAGGTTATTGGACTGAAACAGGGTCTAAGAAGGGTGGTGATCCAAGAACTTGATCTGAAACGAAGTTCAGTGAAGAAGGATTGAAGAATCTGGATTGAATGTACAGCCTTGAGAAGACTGAGGGGAAAATATAATCATAGTCATTTATTTTACTTTATTCTATTGAATTCCAGATCTCAGTGATTCTGAGCAGCTTACAATTAAAAGAAAAATTTCAAGTAAAGGAAAAAGAAACTACAGCTGACTGGAGGACCAATTCTATAATGGATTTAAGTCACAGGAAGGCATATTTTAATGGAAGGTTAATAGAACAATTTGACAGTAGAAGCTGTTACCCCCAGAGAAATGGTGGACTCCCTTTCTTTGGATGAGAGGCAGGAGAGCCAGTGGTCACAGATACTTGATTTTCAATTCTTGTTCAGAGCTGGGAGTTGGATTCAGTGGCTAAATGGCTCCTAACATTTACAGGAGTGATATTAATGTGCTGTGAGAAACCCATTCCTAGCACACAGGGCATACTGCTTGAGTTGCAGCATCCAGCTTGGCCTCGCAGAAGCTAAATCGGGAACGTTAAATTGCTTCCACTTTTATTTCTGCCATAGGAAGTCAGAGCTGTAACTGGCCAGCCGGCCATGGCCTACTGCTGGAAGAGGTAAATGAACTCACGGTGGGCATTTTAAGGTCCCTTTGCCCTGCCTGTCTGACTTCCTGACGAGCTTTTTTGTGGGAATGATTATTTTGAAAACAAGGCTGTGACTTCCAGTGTGATAAAAGCAACGGGGGCATTGAAGCACTTAGGCACCCCGCTTCCATAGCACTATCCTTGGTAATAAAGAATGACAAGAGAGAAACGGAGAAATTCAAGCAGATTTGTTGCCAGAAATAGGCTTTGCTCAGGTAGAGGAAGAAAAGAGGAAGACAGTACGCTTGGGCGTATGAGCTAAATCCTTCAGCTATTATGAACATTATAATTTCCGTCAGTTTAATTCACCACAGATGTGTTGGGTTTTTTTTTTCTGTTTTAAAAATATATGCTGGCCAAGAAAAAGCAGCTTTAAATATTTACAAGCAGCAATGCAAAGCTGATGAAAAGAGAAATATTTATCAAAAGCTCATTTTGTTACGATGTTATGGACTCGAGACATTGTTTTATGGATTTTCTTTTTTGTTGACGGGGGGGTGTCTTACTTGCAATATTGGTATGCGTGTATGTGCTGTTTGACGTACGTGGCTCAGAGTTGCAATTATGTGAATCGGGCAGGTATATACTGTAATTCTAATCAACACAACAAATTTAATAGGCTTTTAAAAAGGATTTTACCTTGTGCAGATGCAGAACACAGCAATTTAGTGCTGATTTAAATGTAATTCTAAACCGGGGTAGTCAACCTTGGCTCTTTTATGACTCATGGACATCAACTCCCAGAATTCCTGAGCCAGCATGGCTGGCTCAGGAATTCTGAGAGTTGAAGTCCATGAGTCATAAAAGAGCCAAGGTTGACTACCCCTGTTCTAAACCATAGATATGAGCTTTGTTGTTTAAGATGGTTCAGAGCCACAGAACCTAGCATGGTTCAACAAAGGTTGGGGCTGCTGGATTTAGTTCCCTATTCCTGCTCCAAAGCATGGCATGATTAAGTAAATTGAAACCAAACTCAATACCACATACAATCATTGAGACAGATCACACACTTCTGATGTAAAAAATGTCTAGGATATCTCAGCAAATGTGTCCTCTTGTATGTTGTATGATATCTTTTTCTAGTTCCTACATATCTGGAAAACCTGATTAGCACCACAAGAAGCAAGTTTTTCAGCATATCTGCTTCCAAGTTTATATTTAAACTTCTTTATCACCTTATCTTAATCTACAAGAGAAAATTCCATAAATAAGTTGTTTTATCATTCCTTTGGGATTTTTCTACTGTTTCTATTTTTAATTTGTTTTTAATTATTAATTTTAATTTTATCCAATTGATTTGCCACTTTAAGTGTGTTCTATTGCCTGGAGTAGTATAGAAGTCTCACAAGTATGCATATTATCTACCGTAATACTCTATATATTAATAGAGGGTTTAAAAAAAACCTGAAGAGAAATTAAAACAACTCCAGCGTATTATTAGAAGAGAAGTCCATGTGAATTTCATTTTTTCTTTTTTATTTCTTAATAGTATAGCATAAGAGAACCAAGATTCTTAGATGGCAATACCGTATCTTCTTGGGCATAAGTATTATTGAGATCAGTTGGGCTTAACTCCTTGCTGCATTAAAAATTCAACAAACATATTTTGAATTGCCAGCCAGCTAATGAGCATTGGTCCCTATAAACAAGTTAACCGATTAAATGTCTGAAGGAAGCCCTGTTAATGAGCCTTGGTGTTAACAGCAATGATGAGTGAATATGTATTTTGAGAATAGAGAATTGAAAAATACACCTTGCCTTTTGTATGTTCCTTTTTTCCCCCCAGTCCTGTGAAAGTAAGTTTGATGGGAGCAGTGCTCTTCACAATGCAGTGCAACTTTTATCTTCCAATAACAAAGCACAATCTCATGTTACTTTACACCCTCTTTTTGGTGATCACAAAGGTAAGTTTTTCTGGTTTATGGTTTCTGTGGATGTGTGTTCAACATATTTTTATTGTGTTACAATAATAACATCTATTAGGTACATTCATATGGCAGATACAATAGTTTGAACATTAAATAATAATACTTATATGATCCCTTCTAGCTTTGATTATGTATGTCAGCCTTTTTCAGTCCAGTACTCTCCAGATGTGTTGAACTCTAGCTGTCATCATTCCGGTTTATATATATACTGCTCAAAAAAATAAAGGGAACATTTTAACATGGAACTGAAGGAGTTTGCGTTCCCTTTATTTTTTTGAGCAGTATATATATATTCATATTCCACATCTGTCTTCTATTAGGACCTAAAGAATAAAAGGGAAACCAGTCAGGAACGTGTGAGAAAATCATCACTTCCATAACCTTAATTTGAGACAATTTCGCATTCCAGGGAGTGATTCACATCTGTATTGTATGATTATTGCACAGTATTTCTGTTCACTGCCAAGCCAACTATATTTTCTCCTAATGACAATTCATGGGATTGCTCATATCTTGGCTTAGTATTTATCAGCACAACTGGGATCCCAGTGACAATATCTGCTAAGGATTTGGCTGGCTTTTCAGTATGTATGAACAATGCCCGTCTGTAAATGTACTTTACTTTTCTATTGGGCCATAATGATTGACCACTTGATCACAAGCCAAGCTTGGACAGAACCCATTTAATCCATATTTCCTTTTGCCAGAATCAGTCCCCCCCCCCTTACAGTTATTTATCTTCTTTTCCTTGGGAAGGCAGAACTAATAGGCAAAATCCTCCCTGGGAAGAAAAACCGTCAATACCAGAATGTATCTTTAGCATCCCTGCCTCTTCATTCATTCCACCAGCTCAACAGAACGTTGGAAAGAAATTATGTCAAGGGATTCAGAACTCTGCCTATCAGCAGGGTAAATTTTGGAAAACCAGACAGAATGGGCCCCAATTTGGGATGGAGGAAGAAACTGGCAAAAGAAAGATGACATTTGAAAAGGACCTGGATGTGTTTGAGATCTCAGGGAAAATTATTCCAGACTTAATTTGCCCAATGAATCTCTAGGAGAGAGCCAAGTCGGGCAGTGGCTCAGAATGTTGCTGACTGCTTTAATCTAAACCTTTCTTTGGTCTGTTTCCTAATCAAGTGATCCAGAGTGGAATGTATTCAGTGTGCTTTCCCGTGTGCACATACCTCCCCCCCAAATACAAGTGCAACACAAGGGGAGAGCAAAGACACACAACCGCACTCATTACTTTGTCACACAGGAGAAAATATAGTCTCCTCCTGTGGTTAGTGCTGCTAAAAAGATTGGAAAGAATTCTAGAACTGTGCTTTCCCCACCTTGTTTATTAAAAGCAGACTGCTGAATTTCAAGAAAAGTGGGGTAAAAATTCAGAAAGGTATTATTTAGGCTGAGTTTATCCAGTTTTAGTTGCAGAGCTGAGGTACTTACTATGTGTTTTCTTGCAGATAAATATGATGATGACGGGATGCACTACTTCTCCATTTGCTTCCCTGGAGGAACCAATGGCTCGCCTCTTCTTTGGCCAGAAGCCAACTGGTTCACAAGCCATGGATGAGATCAAAGGACCCTTAAATGGCATCTCCTCAGCCTGTGACTGTCTTCTTGATGGAGAGAAGAGTGAGGCAGTCCAAAAGACACAGGCAAAGAAAACTCAATGAGAACCTCAAAAGTGCTAAGGACAGCCAAAATGGCTTGTTTGTGTGTGCCGATAAAAATGTAATATTTCTCTTTCCCGATGATGTGAAATGACTATTGTGCATGAGGTAATTTCTGTGACAAGAAGATTGCTGCACTGGTCCTTCAGAGAAGTTTTCAGGCCAAACAGCAGTTCAGTGAATCTCTTATATTGTCCATGAACTGCTCTTATTGTTTACTGCAGCAGTTCCCATCCTGCTGTCATTTGGACATTTTAGGATGACAGCTCCTATGCTTTCTAACCACCACAGCCCTAAGGGTGCCAGATTAGAGAAAGCTGCCCTACGGCTCTGTGTAGCTTCTGAAGTTGGTTATGTTTTTTAAACTAAAATTCATAATTGAATAAGATGCATCATGTCAGGTTTTTTTTCTAATTAAATTTATTCAGTTTAGATGGCTGACCATCTCACTATAGTGACTGGGAAGCTAACCACATTTAAAATCAAAATACAAAAGACATAAAGCATCATAGAACATCGAAGAATGATAAAGATACTGTGATCAAATACTGTGAGTTTACTCATTTTTATTGTGTTTTTTATTTAAGAAAATAATGCCTAACTTAAAAAATTGTCAAAGTATTTTCTCTCTCTTTTTTCATAGTGGAAATACATAAGAACCAGATTTTAGAGTATGGTTCTTCCAAAGTTGGGCACTTTTAAACAGCAATGGGAGAGGTTTCACCATATGTATGTTTGGTCTGTATATTTCTTATTGCTTTCTTATGACTGAACTGATATTTTCTTGACAAAAATATGTTCTTTCGATCTTTCAATTTACAAATATTTTTATTTAGGGTTTGTGGGATGTATACTTTTTCTGATATTGATACTTCTTAATTTTAGATATACTAATGACCTGATTCTTAAGTGTTCACACTTGGCTCGCATCACAAGCTAATTTATATATTTTTCCACCAATTTTTCATATTAAATTTTAAGATTTTTGGACATTAAATGATTTGTAAATACATCTGCTGTACTTTTTGCAGGACAATGAAATTTTTTGAGACCAAGATTCTTATGTAATGTAACTTTGAGACACTCTTTATGCATAATTTTGAAAACGAGAGTATTATTTGGAATCTTATCTGAGATTTAAAAAGACAAGACAGGGATTGTAGCTTACCTGCCAGGAAGGTTGGTGGGAATTGCAGGGAAATCTCCTTTTCCCTAATCACCTAAAAGCCTATAATGCACAGACAGTGGCCTACCCTCGTCTCAATCAAAGTGCCTCCATTTCTTTGGTTGATATTGTTCACAAGCATTTTGAGGCTAACATTTGTAATCTGTCTTTTATAAACTACTAAAAATCTTTTATCCAGATCAAAAATGAAGCAGAAAACAGATTTTTTTTAAAAAAAAGAATAACTATTTGTCATATCATTTAGGGCAGTTTTCGTTCTAACTCTTCTATTGCTGAAGATTAGAACAAAAGTGTCCAAAAAGTGTTTTAAAATGTCCTTGTAGCATTATTTTGAACTTGGAAAATACTTGAGTCGGACACCAGCAGCCAATGTGCTTCAGATGTTTATGAGAGGATTTTTTAATGCATGCTGGTAAAATCACTGATGTCTTTTGTATGATTGGGCTGAACAAATGTCCTGATGTTTTTTAGTCCAGGATTTTTTGTGTGAAATGCCTTTGCTACTCTTGTCAACATCTCACAGTAATTACAGTGCAGGCTTTATAGCACACATTAATGTGAAAATGTATTTAAAATTACTGTAAGATACTTAGTTAGAAGATGGTATGCCTTGCATTTGAATTCAGCATTTTAAAAACCTGCTATTAAACAATGGAAACAATTTGGCTCTTAGTGTGCTAATAATATGATCAGCAAATACATGGACATGAAAAGTTTAGTAGCTTACACATTCTGCTTCTTCACCCAGAAAAGCTTATGTTCTTTCTCTACAGGACCTGAAGCACATTTTGTCCCATTTAAAATATTTGCATTTGCTTATTTTTAATTGAAATGGCAATTAAACTTTGATAAAGCTAGTCAAATTTGGATCTGTTTTATACATGGATGAGAGACTAACAGGGCTTGTAACGGGCTGTGTGAATAATCTAGAGAGACAGGAGGAAGAGCTACAACTTGGACAACAGTATTTTAATATGTTTGGTTTTGGTTTCCTGGCCTACTTTGTAGGGCCATTGATCCAGGTAAGCTTTGGTAAGTCATTTTGTCTTGCTGCCAGAAAAAAAATTAACCTACATGGATATTTCCCTGAAGTCACCAGGAGCTGAAGGAAGAGTTTAGCTACCATTTTTTGCATAGCACATTTCAGCTAGCCTAGACTATGAGAAGTATGGGACTGAATTCTCTTTGAATTTGACCCGTTTGATTGCTCTGAACATTTATTCAGCACCCAATGATGCATTGGTAAAACCAGAAGGGCTGCCATCTAACCACAAGGCATCTGTTTTAAATGTGGAATAAGAATGCTATCAGGGAGAAAGATTTCTGCTATGCCTTCTCCAGTTCTGGTCTCTCAGCATTGATGGGGAAGTCAACATTGAGATCCATCACTAAACATGTGGTTAATCCCTGGAATCTGAAGAAGGCAAAAGATCTATATTCTGCCCCATATTTTTATGTTTTTGACATTGACCCCTGCATTAAGTAATCTTTTTTTCATAATTTCATGCATGAGTGAAGCTCATCTTAACAGACGGATATTAAGAACAAGCTAAATGATATTACTTAAATGGTCTCTTTCCAACTTCTAAACAACAGATGCTAGATTAAGAATTCTGGGTTTATAGTAAGCAAGGAAGAAACATAGATAATTTGGGGTCTTTGGCGACCCCCGTTTTTCCATGAGATTTCCAATTTTCCATTTCATTTCAAAATCGCCTTGTGTATAATGGAAACAGTACTTGATATTTAGCACTGTTTGCATCAACATTTTATAGGCCACTTTTTACTTTGCCCGTCATAATTGGTATCATTTTGCTAAATAATTGGATGAAAGCCTAATCCAGGCACAGTAGAGCGATTTTAAAGACCAGAGATCTATTTATCCCTGGATTACTTATTTTTTTAAATACGGTAAAAGGCCATGAGGCAATTATACATGTCAATAGATATTGAATAAAAAGCAAAGGGAAAGGCAGTTTTGAGTGCTCATTTTTTATTTCAGAAGTTTAACATCTTGTCCATGCAATGTTTCTCTGCCTTTAGGCAACTACATTTTTTTCCCTCCTGCTAGTGTAAGAAATCATGGTCTTGGGAGTGAGAAAAGAGGGCCTTTGATTGGAACAACCAATCTCAGTGAGCTTGAATACCAGGGCAGAAACTTTGAACTGTTGTGAGTGTCCTGAGGGAAGAAAAAAGATTATTTTTAAAGAGTAATGCTCACATCAGTCTGTTGAACTGAACAGCTGGGATGCTGTAGTTTGTGCTTCACTTGTGTCAGGCTGTTTTTCCTTCATTCCTAGCACTATAGTATTAAACTACCTTTTTTTAAATCTCTCTCCATTTATGAGGCAGCCACTTAAGCACTTCTCTTTGCTCTTTTGGGGTCAGCTGTGAGTCTTAAACCTGAGATCAGGGGTATCCAACCTTGGCAACTTAAAGACTTATGGACTTTCAACTCCCAGAATTCGTCAGCCAGTATGGGGAATTATGAGAGTTGAAGTCCACAAGCTTAAATTTGCCAAGGTGGGACACTCCTGCCTTAGATATAAGCATATATATTTTTGCTTTCATACTTTTTTAAAAGAATAAGTGTTTCAATCCGACTGCCTTATTCCTTATTTATGCCACCGTCAGTACTTTTGTGAAGCTGACTGAGGCAGCAGACTTTTAAGAAGGAGTACACTTGCTTATTGTGTGTTTTAACAAAACATTTCACTGTTGTAAAGCTGCCATTTCCATCAAAATCTCTCAGACCATCTTTGTTTTCAAAATATTGCATGGCTCATGTCAAGCAGTCAAAGGGCTTCATACAGGTCTGCAAGCCCATCCATCTGTTCCCCTTCACTATATGAGATGTAAAATACCAGCTTCTGAGAAGTGGAGAGTGGTTATTTGCCAGGTGAAATATGGGTTTGTTTTAGCTGATTACCCAGTTTTTGCAGAGCTGGACCTAATATGAAATAATAATTCCTTCCCCCTGAAGGAATTCCCCCAATGTGGAATTTTCTTTACACAAGTACACAAAGAAGCAATTCCTATTACATTCTTTTACTCTTTAACATCTTTTTAACCAAGTAATCACATGGGGAGATCCATTTTGGTGTAGTTAAAGGCAACCCAGGACTGTAGGAAGCAGGCAAGGGGAAATCACTTCTGAAAGTTGCCAAGAAAACTGTCCCATAACAACATCATGAGTGACTCAAAATGCATATACATAGATACAATTGTACAGTAATGAACTGACAATATTTCCTTCACTAGGTTCTCTGGAGCACATTCTCTACTCACTTGGGTTTCACCGCTCATGGATAGCGTAAGACAGTATTTCTCAACTTTGGCAACTCTTAAGTGGACTTAACATATTTAAAATTCTGGGAGCTGAAGTCCACACGTTTTAGAGCTGTCAAGGTTGACAAACAGTGGGGTAGGATAAGGGTGAAAGTGTTAGATTAGGAGAAATATATCCAAGGTTTTGAAAGAAGCAGAGCTGTACTTCTGGGCTACACCTGACAATATAGCAGTTATTGCTGGCTTAGGTATTCAAGGGTTTTGGAGTGCATGAGTGATATCCACTTGTTTGGATGCAGGCTGAAAAGCAGGTTGCACTTTACAAGATGGCAACCTTCCAGTGATTCAAACTACAGCCCTGTATGGCCTTTTTGCTGCTTTTATGCTTTTGATGTTTTTACTCCAACTCCAATATTGTTTATATTCTTCCAGATTTAGGATAAAGACGTGTTACTGTTTTAAAATTCAGGTAATTCTCACTTAACCACCACAATTGAGCCCAGAATTCCATCCTCATTACGGTTGTTAAGCAGGCCATCACATGACCCAAGTCAATTTTACAATGGCCATAAAGTGAGTCACCATGAGGAAATTACCATTCTTCTTCAATCTGGTACAAAGTGTTATTTGGTGTGCTAAAATCTTGCCTTGTTTAGTCACAGTTGAGTGATGCCATGTGGGATAATTGCTGGATCTTTCTTTGCTTGGTTGGAGTAAGTGTATGTGAAGTAGCGTTCGCAGCGAAGATGAGAAGAATATGCACCCCAAAAATCAAAGAATGAGAATAGAGCTGGAAGGGATCTTGGAGGTCTAGTCCAATCCCCTGCTGAAGCAGGAGACCCTATACCAGTGGTTCTCAACCTTTTTAATGCCGTGACCCCAAACGGTCATAAGTCGTGGACTAAGCGCCGCACATGCGTGGTTCCGCCCCCTGCGCTGGCCGAGGCGTAGCTGGCAAGCGGCAGAGACGGAGCAGGCCGACCACCAGCTGGCCCAGCCCAAGGGAGGTAAGGCACCCGCCGGAAAAGGGAAAAAAAATGGCAGACATCCTTGCTTGGCGACCCCCATGAAATGGTCGATCGACCCCAAATGGGGACCCGACCCACAGGTTGAGAACCACTGCCCTATACCATTTGAGACAAGTAACTGTCCACTCTCTTCTTAAAAACCTCTAGTGATGAAGAACCCACAACTTCTGAAGGAAAAACTATTCCACTGGTTAATTGTTCTCACTGTTAGGAAGTTTCTCCATAATTCCAAGTTGCTTTTCTCCTTGATTAGTTTCCATCCATTGTTTCTTGTCCTGCCCTCTGGTGCTTTAGAAAATAAGTTGACCCCCTCTTCTTTGTGGAAGCCCCTCAAATACTGGAATACTGCTATCATGTCACCCCTAGTCCTTTTTTTCCTCTAGATTGGCCATACCCAATTCCTGCAACCACTCTTCATATGTTTTTGTCTCCAGGCCTTTAATCATTCAGATTTTTTTTTTACTGATCTGGGAACAGCATCTGATAGGCCAACAAAAAAAGTGGGGGAAGGATGGTGGTTCTTCAGTTGCCAGTAATTCAAAGATTTCTTTCCCAATAAACATAAAGGAAGCTCAGGCCTCCAAAACCTCTTGGAAGATTTCTACATCTCATGTTTCAAGGCCTTGGATTGATGGAAACCTGAAGTGTCTCCCCTACACTCCAGCTACCTATCTTTTGAGGCTAGCTAGGCTGCCAAAGCTGGCAATGCCACTTATCAGCATGCCTGCCCCAACCACAACTATAAAAAGTGAAGGGGCAGCTTGAGAATGCCTTTATTGCCTATTCTACTCATGTAAATTTTCATTCATGAGACTGCCTTGTAGTGTTTAGCCTCATAAGCAAACTATTTAGAGCGTTTCTTTCTCCCTTTTTTTGTTTTTCCAGCATGTGTTTGTAAGCCCATATGGACCTGCTGAGGATCCAGCTGGAAGATTGGCCTCGCCTGCTGGATAGCTCCTGGCACATTCCTTCACACATTATCTCTCTAGGAAGGCTTTGGAATGAGGCAGGAGGATTAAAAGAAAAAAGATGGGAGGGGGAGGTCATTGGCATGCCTTGGATTAAAGCGCTCCTGTAATTTATCTAGGATGCTGATTTTAGGGATTAAAGTGGTGCTCATCCTGCCCTGCTTTTCAGTTTATTCTTTTAAGTCTTCAGTTTAGAGAGTCCAGTCACACTTTACATTAAATGTGTGATTACTTCCAGTACACTGAGGAATCCTTTTAAAATAGAACCAGTGGCAAAGAAAAAGAAAAATCAGGATCAAAGGCATTGACATTATATTGCAATTTAAGAATACATTAACCATATGCAAACCCATCCTCATTTTTTCCCCCCCTCACTT